ACGCTTCACCAGGGGTGTGATCAAGTTGCTTCCAGAACAAAGACGGTGGGGATGGGATAGATAATTATCGGCCTTTGACGATGTTAAATACAGAGTTGAAGATTTTAGCCAAGGTCTTAGCTGACCGTTTGCAGATTGTCCTCTCTAGTCTGATTGGTCGAGCAGACTTGTGCTGTGAAGGGCAGGACTATTCAGGACAACCTTCATTTGGTTACGCTGATCATCGAGAAAGTCGACAGTGATGCCGCGCTGATCAATTTAGATCAGTCCAAGGCTTTCGATAGGGTTGACCATCGGTTTCTGGAGGCTGTTCTTTTGGCCGCCGGTTTCGAACGGACTTTCGCACTTGGATCCGACTGCTGTATGCGTCCCCGGTGCGCTGGGGAAGTGAATAAGGGGTAAGATCAAAACCTTTCATGTTGTCTCGCTCCATTCGTCAGGGATGTCCGCTGTCTCCATTGCTGCACGTTCTTGCGTTGGAACCTTTCCTGCGTAAGTTGAAGACGAATCCGGTCCTTCGCGGAATTTCCTTACCTGGTGCTACCACCTCGGCCAGGTACTCCGCCTATGCTGATGACGTTTGGTTCTGGTGTCGAGCAGAAACGAAATTAACGAAGTCAGCAAAGAAATCAAAGTGGGTTATGAGAGGCGGTGACAGGGGGCCAAGATCAACCGCGATAAGTCTGTTGGCTTGCGGTTGGGTTCGTGGAAGGGAGTTTCTCTTCCCGGATCTTTCCTCTGGGACAGACGGGCGGTCAAGATACCGGCGTTTGGTTGGTCCCGACCTCCAGTTGGAAATGAATTGGTCGGAGGTGCGAGAGAAGGCCGAAGCTCGCAGTTCGTCTGTGGACTCGGAGGAATCTTTCCTTGAAGGGGAGGGCGGAAGTATGTGCCTCGCACATCTACCCGATTCTCCTTTACCGACTTTCGTGCTTCCACTCCCGTCTGACACTTTATTGGCTTTTGTAAGGCTCTTGTTCTCCTTCTTGTGGGGGGGCAAGGCTGCCATGGTTAATCGCGAGATCTGTTACCTCCATCCCTCTGACGGCGGTCTGGGGTGCCTTGCGTTGAGACTTTCGTCAACATACGTTTCGCATTACTTATCTAGACCGGATGTGTATGCAACTGGATTGGTGGGCGAATTCTGGAAGGAAGACGCCCGTAAACATTTTCCATCCTTGAGAAATGTGCGTTCGTGGGGAGGGATGAGGCTGGTCGCTCGACTCGAGCGAGGGCTCTTTCTATCGTGAATGTCGGTTGCCTCAAACGACTCTTACGGGCGAAGGATGGCCTCTCCGACGTCTAGCCGTTGTCCCGTAAGGCATTATATCAGGTGTTAGTTAGGGGGAACATTCAGAGATGATCTGATAGGCCAAGCTCGGTCTGACGAAGCCGGAGGATCGCTGCATATGGCCTTGGGCGCCGGGTTGAAATGTCTCACTAACACTGAGGCATCACTCACCTGGCTGGTGATTTGAGGAGCCCTCTGGGTCGTAAAAGACCGTTCAGCGGGTTTGGCTAAGTCGCCAAACTGCGTTCGCTGCAGTGGGAGGTGGAGACCCTAGGTCACGCCTTTTTTCATTGTAGTGTCGTAGCTCCGTTGTGCAAGTTTGTTGAAGATATCATGGTTCTCATGCTGCGTGGAAAGTTTTTTGTCCTCGAGGCCAGTTCCGTCTGTAGCAATATAGTACCGCCGTTGACTAAGGCTGAGCACTATGTGTTCCTTTGCTTACTGGGGGTTATGCGAGTCGTGATATGGACGACACAACAGAAGGAATTTCATGAGGGCGAGAATTTTTCCTCTTCCCAACTGATCTTGTTCTTTAAGCATCAGCTTAAAGTCAAGATCAGGATGGAAAAAAACGACTCCATCCATTGGAATTTGGCGAAAAGTGGGTGAGTCTTGCGCGTCTCTGCAGAGTGAAAGGTGCTGACTTGGAGTGGCATTTTGATGCGGTTAGGCATTAAGAATTTTGGGATGCTGGGGTGAACATTGGCTACCCCTCCCTTGTATAGGTTAGTTTAGGTCCGTTTTGTTTTAGTTACTTTTTCTTTTTTTTTTCATGTTAACTTAGCTAGGGTGTGTATGCTCATTGGCCCCCCTTTTTATTTCTGGCCCTATTTTTTTTTCTTTTGTTTAATTCCCCATCCCTCCCATCGTTAGGTGGTTAGGGATATCAGTTCTCTGGTGGGTGCGGGGCGCATTTCGTTTCGAGGGTATTTTTCGTATTTGTTGTTGTGTTTGATTGAGTGTGTGTTTGTAGTGAGAGCATCGATGGTATGAATGTTTTATTTTAACTTTTTTAAGTCCCGCATTGTTTTCGTCCAGTTAACTGATGTCTCTGCCATAGTTAGGGCTGTGGGGTTTTTTACTACTAACAAAATTTTTGTTTAGTTTCTTGTATATAATTTTTGTATTCATTGTAAACATTCATTGGGTTTTTTTTTTAGATTGTTATTTTATTCCCTCCCCACAGACACATGTATTGTATATATGGGGACTAGTTTAGAACTTCATAGAGACTCTGAGGCATTTTGGTGGATGTAGAAAGAATGGTATGTAATGGATGTGTTGTTTTGGTGAAAGGAACATTGTTTTATGTTTGGGTCAGTGATTGTGGCTAGCTAAGTTTAAAGTTAAGACAGAATATGACCATCCTTTCCCTCTTTCCCCTCTTGGCCTTGTGCCACATTTGTACATTTTGCAATAAATAATTTTACGTTATCTGGCCGAGGATGGATTACGGCAGTGTGGTGTAAGTGCCTTTTTCTCTCCCTCATTTCAACTGCAGTAGCTTTACATGCTACAAAACAAAACGGGCTCTTTTTGGCGGGGACAAGGCATTGTCCACGACCAGTTAGTTGAATCGTCCCAGGTTCTGTCTCATGTCCCACAGACTAAAAAAGCCTCTTTTAGGACTTCCATAGGAACTAACTTAAAATTCTGTCCAGGAGCAGGTTTTCAGTTAATATATGATAGAATAAGGAACAAATAGGAAATGTTTATAGATTTAACATGTTTCTGATGTTTTTTTAAATAACAACAAAACATTAAATCTATAGACATTACCTCTTTATTCTTATCCTGTCAGATTCTAATCCATAGTGGACCTCAATTCACACACAGACACACATATATATATATATATATATATATATATATATATATATATATATATATATATATATATGAAAATGATATATCAAGAACAATTTTAGGAAAGTCTATAACAAAGATATAGAAGAGTGGACTATTCTGACAGCCCCAATGAATTAAAATATATTGTTCTACCCACTAGCTTTATAGCCACCTGTACAACTGAAAAGAATTTATCTGAGCTTAACATAATATTTGTTATGACTACTTTTAAAGCAATAAAAAGTTATGCCTAAAAGGAAAGTTAGCTGAGTAAGAGAAGCAAAAGGTTGACAGCCAAACCCTGGCTTGATAATGTCCACTTATGGCCTGAACTTGATCACTACTCTTTGAACTCTGCTGTTGGTGATCAAACTTTGTGGAGAAGAGTATCTGCAACAAATGGAGTAAGTGACTGATGATGATTTAACATTATCAACTCTTCCAAATATATGCATATATGAACAACTTCTAGTTCACGTTGTACAATAATTGTTTTTGAAATGTTACATCTGAACATTACATTTGATTTGGTTCTGCTCATTTTTAAACATACATTGACTATTTCCTATCCAATGATTCTAATATTAGTAAAGTGTAGTCAACAAATCATTGATGGCTGAAATATCCATCATTTAATTTCCATTATTCCTAGCCATTTTCAATTTTCTGGAAGATATTTTAAAAATCTGCAACAAATAGTTTAGTGAAAAAGTATCCCTTCTCCCTTTTTGTTAAATGTTCGTTACTATAAATTAACTCGGGATCAAATATGGATCAGAATCTGGCAGAATTAAAGATAAAGAACAAATAAGAAATGTTTATTAATCTAACGTTTCACTTTTATTAAAACTTCATCAAAGACTGAGGTATGGATAAAAGAGAAAGAAATTCTGTTCTTTTTTTAATTTTGTGTTTGATTTTCATTGGTCATTCATGAATCGCATGCATTCAACCCTTAAACCAACATTAGTATAAGTTTTGGTTTTCCAAATTCTATAAACTCTAAAAATTCTACAAGACATTGCAGGAAATTTCTCAGCCAGTCCAACTCCTAAAACCTGACCAAAGACCAGATTCTTTTTTTTAAGGTTTCTTTGGTCAGACCAAGAAACTTTCAGCACATCCTTATATAGAATATTTGATTCATTTTGTCAAATTTCAATTTTTGCTAATTAAAATAAGATTTTAAAGTTACAATTAACAACATTAACTTCTAATGACAATTGATAAGAAAACACTTTAAATATTGTTTGAAATTCTGATACAAGCCATTGTCATTATTTTATAAGTTATTGGAAGAAGTAGTATTCTTTTCAGCAATGATGAGGATACAAGTCTAAATAAATTGTGGAAAAATAATCTTATATTTATTCAACCAGTAACAAATCTTGTACATAATCTGAACTTTAAACTGTCTTCTAAAAATTAGAATAACAGTTAAACACATTACTGAATTATGACCTTTCAATAACACAACTACAGTTGTAATTTATTATAATTTTAAAGTCTCAAATGGGCTTTTAAGTCTCAATGCTGTCATTATAAATTAACTTACAAATGTTTTCCAAATATACAAGGGGAGTACTGAAAAGTTCCTTGATTTGATCTACTTCCTAAAATTAGGATTTCAATAACCAAATATCATAGTTTGGAAGGGAAGAGTTAAAGAAACTTGAGAAACAATATGACAAGAGTATTGAACTGATGAAAGAATATGTACATTTCATGGAACTCTGTCATTCTTGTCTTGGTCAGTGAGAACTTTTCAGCACCCAGTATAAGTGCAAGAATTTCTAATAGTGCTTATGGATTGTAATTATATTTTCTAATTTACTGCAACAATGTTAAGAAATTCACAAACCTTGTTTCCTGTAAATCCTACAAATTCTAGAAGTCGCAAAATCTTTCCGGGCAATAAAGATATCATCTGAAATACAAGATACTCAGTTAAAGGAAGCTCCTAATTCAAATATTTTGGAAAACTTCCTACTCAAAAAATGGGTTGTTTAAATAAAGGAAACTAAGTAAGTTAAGGTGAAAAGAAAAAACATTATATGCTATTTGCAGACTCATATAATAATAAATATATTATTGCATTGGATTTAAAATTACAAACTTCTTTATGATAATAATTTTTACATGATATAACTAATATCATTATAATGTAATGGAGGAACTTTATCAATAATTTATCTTAAATAAAACAGAACATATTGGTTAAGAATGGGATTAGAAAATTTCATTTAATGCTGATTACTTAAAGTTTATTAATAATAATTCAGCTCAAAGAAAAACATCTTATCACAAAGTGGTAAACATTTATAAGTGGTGAGTGTTTAAGTTATGCAAAGCATTAAAAATTTATATTTTTAGCATTAAAATTGTGACATAGCTAAATCATACATCCATCAAGAAATGGGCATGTGTATAAAGAAGAAGAATGATGTTGATTGTAGCAATTTGCAATACATCATCATCACCACTGATGCAAGAAAGAGAAAAATCAAACACCTACCAAATTAAATGACCCAACACCCATTCGAACACCACTTTCAAAATGCTCTCTGTGCTTGTCCTTACTCCAATCTCTTTGTTGTAACATTTTCATACAGTCCCTGTAATAAAAGGGAGAAATGGTAGAAATTCACTATGACAACAAAATTGAAATAAATTGCAAGCTTAAAATCAAATATGAGTACAAGTAACTTTTAAAATTTTGAATTAAGATTAAGTGATTTTATTGACACCAAAATAGTTTTGTAATTTTTTTAATACTGTTCCTTTAATTTTTCTTACTTTTTTCCCCCCTATCATAACTGGTTTGTTTCACAAGTTGTGATGCTTGATTGGTGATTCACCAATCATTGACAGTGACTCAATTAAAAAATTGCAATTTATTTTCTGTATCTACAAAAATGCTAGAAGGCTGTAGCTGGTCTTCAGCTGATGTTGAAGTACTTTCAGAAAACTCAGGTAATGATGTTAATTTCAGTGTATCATGTCAAATGTCAACAAAAATTTGTTAACCATTAATATCATTTCTGGCACATTTTCATATTTTATGTTATTGTTATAGACAAGTGTATGGTTGCAAGAAAGAAATACGACAACAGTAGAAATAGATTTACGTGGTTTATTTCAACAGGAACCGTGAGGGTTTGGGACAGCTACCTTGTGGTGTAGTTCATAAGCCGGCTTCGGATCTAGGTCAATCTCTCATAGTAGTTCACACATGTTGAAGGTGGTTGATGCTACCCTGCTGACAGCTACTGACCGTGATAGGTCTGTTCTCTGGCCACCTGTGGACTGCCTGTTGAACTTCTATGTGACCCCCCTTTTATAGCGTTTTTTTATGGCTTAACAGGCTCAAAAAACAAAGCGAGTATAATTAGGAGGGAAGCATTTTTTATTGGACGAAAAATAGAACACTTTAAATATTATTTTACTTTTCGACCAGAACATTTGTAATTGAAGATAATGGTCATTTTGTGACGGGGCTTTGTCCCGTTCACATCCGGTTCTCGCTCTTGAGTATTTCTCTGTAAATCAGCCGAGATATGTCTTATTTTATAACATTATCTTGACATTAATTTGTTACATTATTTTTAAATAATTATTTTCATCATGTCACTTATTCATATAAAAATCTATTTGTTGTATAATAAAAACCAAAAATAAGGTTGTTTACTTTTCACCAAATTGGTCAACATTTAACACAAATTCTGTTGATTTTATGATCATAGTTCTTATGTGAATATTCATCAGTATTTAAAAAGCTTTCTAAAAATACAACTTGACAATATTGGGAGATATGTAAATGCTAGCATATAGTGGCAAATACCAAAATCCACCATTTTGATTTTGGTCCAACTCAGTAAAACACTTCAAAAGTCTACCACAAAATTTTGTACAAATTTTGTCATGAGGCAGACAAATTTATTGTCAAAAGGTTAAGGTCAAAGTCAAATGATCTTATTTGACCTTTAAACAAAAAGATAAATACATCACCTTTTAGATCTATCCAAGCACTTTAAAATGTATATAATTTGGATTTGTAGGTGAAAAAATAACTGAGATATCGATATTTAGACTTTGTGACTATTTTCCAAAATTCACCTTTTTGGCAAAGGTCAAAGGGTCAGATCTCGGAAAGCGTTTGGCCTAAAATAGGTACCATTCAATTTGCATCATGAAGCTCCAGAAGTGTATCAAATTTGAAAAAAAAAAATCTATCAGTGATGGTCAGACCCTTGTTGATTTGAAACAGAATGACTCCATAGCAATTTACCAGTAAATGAAAAATCTATTTCACAGACAAAAAAAGATTTGTATGAGATTAATATGACTGCAAAACAAACAAATCTTAATTATGCTTATAAAATATACAATTATAGTAAAAAGCCTTTTTTTCAATATATCTCTCCAAAATTTTGGTCAATACAGCTAAAAAATTTACATAGTTATGAACTGTGAAGATTATTTCCAGGGATAGTTACCTTTGTAACTGGCTTCTCTCATATCTAGGATATCTCAGATAAGGAGCTAATCTATCAAACTATACTGGGTATAGTAACCGATAAACTTCCATTCTACCTTCTTATCTTGATTGATATAAATAGAATACACAAGTAGAGGTCAATATCTTAGACATCAATATTATCAACAGAATAACAATATGAAGTTTTTGTTTTAATGTCATTTTGTAGAGCTGAAATTTTTTTTGTAAATATTAACAAGAGAAAGTTTTGAAATTGCCAATAAATTATTTAGATTACAAAATATAAATTTTAAGTATGACATTTTAATAAATAAATTTCCACTATTCAACAAATGAATGTCATTGTGGTGTTCCTATTAAGATTTTTAAATTCTATTTCCTTTTTGGAATTTTAAAAGCTAGTGTACTTTGAAATAAATTAATAGAAATCTGAAAAAAAAAAAAAAAAAAAACTTTCATTTTTTTATAAATAAAACGTACTGAATATATGATGTGGCAAAAAAGTTTTTTGATAGAAAAATGACCTTGTATTTTCAACAACATTCTTTGCTATTTTTAAAATTATATTGCTAATTAAAAAGTTTTTAATAATGTTAATTTCATGCTATTAAAATGTAAAATTATATGAATATACATAATTAGTCTTCTAATCTGATAATTTAAAAAAGTTGATGTAATCTTAATTGAAAAACTTTACTAGGGGATTTTCTTTTCTTTTTGAAATTTTTAATTTGAACATTTTAAGTTAAGGAATAAATTTAGTTTCCAGGAAAATTCTGAGTATTATACTGTATGTTTCTTTGCTAAAAGTAATTACATTCACATTTTAACTTTAAAATGAAAAAAAGAAATGAATGGACTCTAATGATTTTTGAAAAAGTAAAAAGATCACGAAAAAGCACTGGATGTTTCTGATATGAAACTAAAGAAACTTTGTAAATTCATATCTAAAGATGTAAATGCTAAAACACAGGTTATTAAAATAATATTTCAAATATTTAGAGTTCCTAATTTATTATTTTTAAAAGAAATCAAAATAAAGTTGGATAGTTAAAAGGTAGTTTTTGAACAGGTGTTTTCAGAACTTCAGGTCATATTCCTTCCTTTTGATTCCATATTTCCTTAATTTTTCCCTTATTTTGAGTTGTCATCTAGTAAGTTTTTCCCCCATTATAATTTTGACTGAAATTCCACCTCAATGCCACTCCTGACTAAAATGCTTCCTCTTCAATTTTGAAATTCCTTCTCTGAATGTCAAGTGCCACCTGTTTGAGAACCATTGAAAAATTAAGTCATGTCTAAGAAGAAGAAAATTTTATACTCCATTTTAATTCATGAAGGAAAGATTAATTAATAATTTACAAGTCAATGATCATTAATATTTCTTGAAAATAGTTACAATAAATGCACAAGATAAATTGCCACAAAACTAACCATTAGATTATTGAAAAGCTATCCAGTAAATATAATTATGCAAATGGATACAATTTTGTAGCAACTATATAAAAGTTTTTATGGTCTAAGATGCTAAGGATAGCATTATTGGTCATGCTTAATTCTTGTAACTTGTTGAAGAAATAAATTCAAGATTACATTATTATTATAATAGATATTTCATAGCAAATAAAAATCAAATTATAAGTTCTTAGTATTTCTTGAAGAAAGCAAATCAGTGATAAAGTGAAAGAGTGTCCAAGGTTATTTCCATCAGAGTTGAATGTTAACTATTTTTGTTAACAACTATATTAAGCAGATATGATTCTAATCTACATGTGTTAGCAAATGAAGAATTAAAATTCATCTTATGATTTTTTTAAATTCTTATATTTCAGTTCTAATTTAAATTGAATATTGATGACAAAGATTTAATTGTTGCTTTTCTTTTTTGTAGCATAACAAATTAAAATACATAAATGTTTGTAAAATTTTAATATATTTATCTCTTAATAATCCCATGAATCAACAAAAAAACTTCCACAAAGTGAAATATGGTGCTCAGATTCACATAAGTTGAAATACTTACCTATATATTTTATAACATTCTCGAATCTTAAGCCCACCTTTCACAAAACTGATAAGGTTTTCATCCTGTACAAATGTAAGCATTGCTCTAATAAGTAGGCCTTCAGCATAACAGAGTTCTGCATGAAATTCCTCTAAAAAGGGAAAATATATAAATAAAATTTATTAGAAAATTTAATTAAAAATATCACAAGGATTTCAATTAAAAATCAACTAAAAGAAGAAATTTTTATTCTAAAATAACATTTTATATTTAAAGAGAATTTTTCAATAAGGAACAAAAATATTAAAATATATGTGAAGTTTTTTTATTTGGTTATTAAAGAGTATTTTGATTGTGTAAAATCCTTATAAAATAATTCAAGTCATATTCATTAAGTTTTGTTATAAAATTAAGATCTACACTAATACAATAACAGAACATTGGAAGTTTGTCATGAAGGTTTATGGAGAAATAAAAGATTAACAAACAAACTATACACACAGTGCCTGAAAAATATTAATCCTATAATCAATGAATATTTATCCGAGTTATTTCAAATTCTAAAACAAATAAAGAAATATAGAGTTTTAAATGTCAAAAGATGTCTGCAAAATGCATTTACTGAATTCTTTAGTATTTGCAAATTTTTTAAGATATTTCAAATGATTTTTATCAACAGAAAATATGCTTGTCTATAAAAACAAATAATTGCTAAAGAATGAATTTAAAAAAAAAAAAAAAATAGTTCCTAATAAATAATTGTTGAATAACAATGTGCAGGACATTTTTATCAGAACTCAAATGGACAATGATGACAAGTTAACCTTACCACTGATTAAGAAGACAATAAACAGCCTACAATGTAGGTTATTTTGAGATATCAGATAGCAATTGACAAAAGAGAAAAAGAAACATCTTCACTTGATGTCAGGAGAGGAATCTAATAACAGAAGCAGTTTTACCTTACTTCCCAAAGTTGCTGCTGGTTTCAGCATTTTTACTCCAAGTTTTCATTATTTTTAATGAATGAACTTAGGATTGAATAAAAATAATAAATGCTTTGCATATAACAGCCTCTACTCCATGTTTCATATTTATTTAGCTATTGATAAACTTACAAACTTGGCCTGCAAATAAACAGAATGTCAAAAGGAATGTTTTTTTTTCTATGACGCTGCTTTTATTTTAACTACCTTCACTCTTCAACGTTTGTTGTTCTAGAATTGTAATAAAATGTAAACATACGATAAAAATGAATTTATCCATTTTTTTCTTGAGAATTTTCAACAAAAATATTAAACACTATTTATTTATTAGATTTACAAGAATAATTTTATATTTACAACATTCTAAAAACTAATACAATTAAAATTAATGCAATGCAATATTTATCATTTACCAATTTATAAAGAAATAAATAGGAAAATTTTTTATTCATAAATTTATAGACACATACTAAATTATTAAATTATGTGAACCAAGTACAAATAAATCTTTATTATTTACCATTTTATAAAGTTTGAATCAACTGGCAATTAGCCAATGTTTTGCCAACCATTTCTAATAAACACTATAATAAATAGGGTTTATTATTTTTGTTGTCAATTCTCAAGAATAAAGAAAATTTATAAATTCACTTTCATATGTTTAGGTTTTATTACAGTTCTAATCAAATTGGTTTTTCAAAAAAATAGACATTGCTGAGGAGAGAAAGCAGTTAAAATAATATTTGATGTCAATGGTAAAACCATTCTTTTGACACTCCATTTACTTGCATGCATAAAGGTCCAAGTTTGCTGATAAACAGTTACAGAAAATTCAGAAACTTATCTTCTAATCACCAAGACAATTTTGTAACAATTTTTTGTATATCTCAAGTTACAACATAGAATAATAGTAGATATAAATATACCTCAATATATAATTTAATAAATATAAAATCTAATGAAATACTCTTTATATTCTCTTCAGATAAAGTTGCATTAGATTATAGTGATGATTTATAATAATTATAATAATAATTATAATAATAATAATGATGATGAAATGTAGAATACCTTCTGTATAATCATCATAGCTATCTTTTACAGAACGTCCCAGGCTACCTATAAGGTTAGCTTTCCGTCTGTATTTGTTGGAAACAACAATTGCCTTCTTGATAGCAGTAATTGCATTCTCAATATCCGTCTACAGATAGAGAAAAGAAGCTTTCAGAAAAAAAAGTAATAGATATGCAAATGACACAAATAAATCAATAACAGTAAACAAAATGCAACCTGGTAGTGAATGTGTTAAGTTTCAAATCTTTATACTGACTAAAATAGTAAGAAGGTTAATTTACAACAAGGATCAAAACAAAGTAGAACAAAATAAATCACTCATATCAGTGAATGGACATGTGTACTAACAAAATATATCAGGTACAGTGCCACAAAATAAAACACGTGTGAATACCGGGGGGGGGCTGTTAAATAAGATGCTAAAAGTGTGTGAGTGAGGGAGAGAATCAGACATTAAGTTTTAAAAATTCCTGATTCTATATTTCTTGATCTGATCCTTTCATAAAATGAAGAATTTTTTTTAGTTTTATTATCCTATAGTAAACATTTTAAGTACATACATTTTGCTTTACTTTTACTTATATAAAATTTATATAGAAGTTTTATAAGTTAAGGTTTTAAAAAAATGTTTGGATTCATTTTGAAAATTAATAGCAGTAATGATACAGCTCAGTTCAATAGAATTGGCATAGATTGTTGTCAGAAAAAAAATATAAACTTCAGTTTAGCTCTCAGTTCCAGAAAAAACTATGTGTGGAAGGGGTTGAACCCCTTCCTATAGTACTGTGGCTGTAAATGCACTCTGGCAAAATATATTATTGTTAATAGCATTTATTGAAATTTCACTTGTCATAAATTAATGCAGATATCAATGGAGTTTCTAAAATTTTGATCTTGGCTTTTTAATTCTAGTTAATGTGATTAGATTATATTTATAATTTACTCTACAGGGAAAAGTGAGAAATAGCTTTATCCGTTATATAAATGTATTCATATGATCAATTTCTAGTGCTGAAAGTAATCTAAAATTCTTTTAAACATTTCAAGATATCTGGAATGTAGAAGACAAAAATGTATGCAAGTCTGTGTATTTTGTACCTTACTTTAAATATAAAAGAGTAAAGTACTTCATTGTTTCCTGCTATGAATGTATTTTATTACAAGTTACATTTTTTATTAACTTAAATCTGATTAAAAATATGTAACTAGAAAGGAAGTACTGAGTGAGTTTGAAGCTGACCTAATTTTGAATGAAGTGACACACCACATTATGGCTTCACAGGCTGACCTAGTTAATGAGCAGTTTCTATTCAGTTAGGTAATATGATTTGAGTTTTGGACAGCATTTCAACCAGGTAGATATGATTTGGTGTCACATTACTGAGTTAAGTGGGAGAGGCATCAAGTAATTAGAGGATAAGCATAGTTGAATTTTTTAGTTTACCTAATTAGTTAGGTAAGGGATATAACCTAGTAATAGTGAATAGCTAAGATGATTGAAAGGAATTTAAAAAATTTTTTAAGGTACCTTTATTAATACAAAATTATAATTAAATTAAGAATTAAATTAAGATATAATTGATAGCAGAAGCAGTTTTTTTAATTCCAATGTTTCGGCTGATGCACTTTACCAACAATGTGTTCCAGCTTTAAATCAGAATAGTATTAAAGTTGGGATAATATATTGTTCTAACTCAATTTTTTTCTTTTGTTTGGCTGATGTTCTTCCTAGGGACTGAATCCCATTCTTACAGTGTTCCTTTGACAAGTAACATCTTTTGATGGTTCTTAAAACTTAACAATAAGCCAATGTAGTTAATTGTCCAACCTAACCAATAATTGAACTTGTCTCTTTAACAAAAGTAACAGTTTAGTCTTTTGTAACTCACTTGGGCTACCTTGAATGATAGATTAAAAAAAAAAAAAAATGAAAACTCTTTAAACAATTTGTTAGATAACAGAAATAAAAAAGAAAAAATATCCTTCAGAAAGTTGATCTGCTAAACAAAACCAAATTTCTTTTCTATTCAAACTATAATGCAATCAATCACAATCCCAGCTTCCTCCTTCCATGGCTCTTCTAAACTTTACATGCACATCTATACATGACATTATATGCATTAAAAGATACTGATGTGGCATATAACTTGATATAGAAGATGAAGTTGTGTGAAGTCAAAGGAGATCATTTGGAGGAGTTGCTGATTCTTTCCTTGGTAGTGCATCAAGAGTAAAGTTCAAAGAGTTGATCAAACAACTGAAGCAGATTTTGTAAATAAAATAATTTCCAGAAGATAAAAATTGTATTCAATTTGTGATGCCAGTTAAGCTCTAACTGTTTATGCTTATTTTTGCTTTTAATATTTGCTTCTGTTCTTCCTATAGATGAATTAACAGTTAGTTCATTGTAACATTGCTTATTATACAGTTAAAGGTATGATTTTGAGTTCTAATATACAATTAAACTGGTCAGATTTATTTTAAAGTGCATGAAAAAAAGAAATTAAATACAAGATGAAGGCTTGTGGGTGATATGAGTCTAGCGCCGTCATGAAATAAGAGAATCATTCTGTACACAAAGGGGAATCAATAGAACAGATATTAACTGAATTCTGATCTGAAATTTTCACTGTATAATATTCAATTTAGGGGATTAATATTCACCCTTGGAGTAAGTGCATTGATAAGTAAGATTATATTGACAAATAAATATTTGTTGTGTAAAAATAAATACTTTTTCAATCATTGGGCCAAATACTTATTGCTACATGTATGTATATTCATTTTGAAAAGTCAAAACAATAAAGATTTTAAATATTTTGGAGCATATTCCAAGATTTAATAACTGAATAGAATCATTAAAGCAAAAGAGAGAAGGTTATACAAAAAGTGAATTTGTTGCAACAAGAATAATGCACTTATTTTGCTTCCAGGCCAATCTTCAGCACAGAGGTTTTGATTGTAGTATGAAAGTTGTAAGCTAGTGCCAACTGTTGATATATATTCATAGATAAATTGACATGAATGTATGTCTATGATGGTGATAAAAGATTATCTTGGCAAATTCTGCTTACATGAATTGACAGAGAAACAGAAAATTTTGCTGGAAGTTTGAAAAAAAAAAAAAAAAAAATCATCTAAATAAAAAAAATTATTTGACAAGATACAATTATTATATCAAAGATAATTGAAATGAAAACTTGAAGGGAAAAAAAGACTTTTTTTTCTTCTTTTCTTCCTCTTTTTGTCTAAGCTGTTTTCGATCAAGTGTTTATTCTTACCAGACTTTATTATGGTAATTATTTGTGTGTAATATGCACTTGTGTATAATACACACACCCTAACTTTGGGCTACAAAACTGGAAAAAAATTCTCATGTATAGTGACTATACATTATACAGTTTACATTACATTTTAAAACACAAATGGAGGTGAACAGTGTTGTTTAATGGCTGGATGTCAGTATTTTCAAACTCTTCAAGTGGGACCAGTGGCTGTCAGATGGATACAAGTCTCTCACTTAAACAGGCTTAATTTACCAACCAGAGCTTATTTTTTACATTGGAAACCTGGTAGAGTATCTCTGAAACCATGTTGCAAAGTCAATAGAAAAAATGCTGCCTCATGAATGCACTTTATAGCAATGTAGAAACTTCTTTTAAGAAAGATGACTGTGAATGTAGACAACATTGAAGATATCAAAGACATATATAATAATAATAATAATATGTGTAAATAATCCTTTTTCAAAACAAATGCAATGTTTGGATATAAACTCTTTGTGGCACATTAGTTTGATAGATATAACTTACTCTTAGTCATACTGTTCTAAATATAGTGACATACATAGCCAGAAAAACATTTAGTTTTCCTGTATATTACACATCCCTAAATTTTAAGTTTAAAACCTGTTTAAAAAAAGTGCATATTTTATACAAATGATTACTGTATGTAATATTCTTGAAGGTTTGTTTTTATACCTGATAAGAAAAACAAAGCCTTTTAACCATAATAACCAAACAACTCACTGCTGAGTAATAATGGCTAAAAGAAAGTTTATTGCATGAATAGAACATATTTTAAATTCAATGATTGTTTAAAGTTGTGGCCATTCATATTGGAATCAAAAAATAAAATAAAATGGCCACATGATTTAATATATATGATTATCTTCCAATAGCTATTATGACTTATCTTCACCAGAACAGTCTGCACATCTTGTGCATGTATCAGACTTTCTTTCTTGTTAATTTAATAAGCCATAAACTAAATTTTCTTGGCAATTGTTATTTTGACTTTGGAATGGTGTAATTTTTTCTTTTTGAAAAAAATTTTTTTTTTGTATTTAAGTTATATACTCTAGAGTAAGAAAAACAAAAAGAATTAAATAAAAAAGAAATAAGTATTAACTAATTTACTAAGCTTAGTTTAATTGTTGGCAGAAAGAAAGCATTGTACCAATCTTCCATATAAGATAATAATTGGGAAATTAGCATCTGAAATTTTAGTTTTAGCCTTGGTTCAAACACTGATTTCTTGAACCAATGAAAAATATGTTATTATTTCAACTTAGAGGTAGGCTTGGAATGTTTAACCTATTCATATAAGCAAAAAACAAAAAAAACAAAAACAAAATAAAAAAACAAACATTCGTATAAGCAAAAAAAAGACAGTCGTTGTCTGTCATTTTTAATCAAACACGTATCAATGAAATGCACACATATGTACATGATGGAAATAAAATAATTTTTTGGAGCATAAAAAAAAAAAATAATAAATCGTGTTAATCAAAAAGTTGTGTACTTTGTAATAATCTTAAAAATAATCAGGTTATGTTTTAAAGTAAAAAGAGCAAGTGAACATGATTTAAAAAGTTAATGATTAACTAAAGAAAAAACTGAAATAATGTAATTTAAAATTGATGACTCACCACATCAAATGTCATCATAGCTTGAATGTAGAGAATGACACTGTAACTGAGTGAATGGTACATACTGCAATGGGCACTAGATGAGAAATGGAAACAAAAGGTTTATTAAAAGTTCAAATCTATTTCATCAAAATCTTATTTAATATAATAAAATGAAAGTTAAATAGAAATATGTATTGTATATATATATATATGAGGAAGTGTTGAAAGTTATTAGCCTGACCAAAAAGTGATTAAAAAACAAAAGAATCTGATGTTTTGTCAAATTTTAAAAAGTAGATCAAGGTGTAAATTTTTCTGCACACACTATAGGGTAAACCATCATTAGATCTGATGATCTTTGAACCTGCATCCCCTAGGGGCCACAAGTTTGAATCCTGCCGGAGGATGCATACTTTTTTTTAACAAGATTTCTCAAAATATTCAGGCCAGTAGATGTAAATAAATAAATATATTGTTTAGTAAATAAAAAAAAAAAAAAAAAAAAAAAACAGTGCATCTACTCAAATATGAGTATCCATTTATAAAATAACGTTTAAACAAATAAATTAAAAATCTGTCAGATTTAATCCATTTCCTTGTATTTTATATATATATATATATATATATATATATATATACACACACACAACATTCCATATGAAGGGAAAACAAACAAAATAAAAGAAAACCATAAAGAAACCTTTGAGAATAACTCGCTGCAATTCTTTTATGAACATCAATAATGTTGTGTATGATACACCTAATTTACATAAGTGGAGTACCGACCATATAAATATGGGTTGGTACTGGAAGACGACGGAAGATTAAGAGATCGAATCCAGAGACTCTGCCCGACTGCGACTTAGTCAACCCATTCTGCTGGAACAGTCTTCCCAAGAATATACCAAAACTACCTGTAAATATTGTTACCTTTTTCATTGTTTCAATACATTTTGTTACGTACATTTTGTGTTGTATTATTATTATTCCATGCTTATTCAAGCTTCAACAATGGCGACGAGGTATAAAGAACTTTACGCGTTTGGAAAAAAAAGAATTAATAATTGATAGCCTTCAATAATTGGGACAAGTGGAAAACCCAGGCTGAAAAAAAAAAAAAAAAAAATCATTAATTAAAAAATCGAACATCTAATGGAACGGAAAAGTATTCTGAAGTTTGGACAGTTAAAACTAGTTAAAGGACGACTAAGCAAGGAACGTCCACTCAGAAAAATCTGGAAGGTGGCGTAAACAAATAAACAAAAAAAAAAAAAAAAAAAAAAAAAAAAATGCTGGCCGACTAAAAAAAAAAAAACATGCATGGAATTAAAAGGAGCACAAATACCACGTGTCGACTTTGAAAGGTAGCGAACTTGTAAAAAAAAAAAAAATTTGTTTATTTTTTTTGTTTGGTTGCTCAACAATATTTTATAAAGCAAGACATAAAATTAAAAAAAAAGGCGTAAGTTGTTTCAATTTTTTTTTGCCTGCTTATAGTATATTCGTGGATAAACAATTTAAAAGTATATTTTTTGTTGCATGAACACTATCAGCTAAAAATGGAGGAATTATCCAAAGTCATAGCTGAATTGTTTAAAGCCCAGCAGTTGAGTCAAGCTGAATTATTCAAATCCCAGCAGTTGAGTCTGCAACAACAAAGTGAACAGGTTGCCTTATTAAGAGAACAACAATTAGCACAGCAGAATTATCAAGAAAGGCAAGAGGAGTTGAGTCAGCAACGTCAAAGGAACAGGAAGAAATGTATGTCAAGGTTTTGGAAATTCAAAAGTTAACATTGGAGAAATTAAACAACAATCAGGCAAATGAAAGTAACTCTTCATATTCTAATAACATCATATTTAATTCGTTGAAACTTTCAACTATGTGCCAGACGAAGGAAAAAACGTTTGAAGCGTACTTTAAACGATATGAAGATATTTTCACACAGACTGTGAAAACTGGTCGAATTCAAGAAAAGTCAGTCTATTACTAAGAAAGCTAGGTACAGCAGAACATAGCAAATTTGTAGATTTTATTCTACCGAGAAGAACAAATGAATTGGAATTCTCGGAAACAGTGAAATTGCTAAAGGAGTTGTTTGGAGCAAATATGTCGCTTTGGCATAGCGATGGTTATGCATGAATGTCGCTAAATCCGACGATCAGGATTACTTAACTTATGCATCTATAGTGAATAGACATTGTGACAATTTCAGATTGGCAGAGATTACGGTTGAAGAATTCAAGTGTTTAATTTTTGCTCAAGGTCTGGTATCCAGTAAAAGTGCGAAATAAGGCGTAGAGTTTTGTCTAAACTCGAATCTGAACAAAAACCTTACCCTGCAAAAGTTAGCAGAGGAGTGTCAGCGGGCCGTAAGTTTAAAGAAAGAGTCTCAAAAAATTGAAGAAGCTGGTATTGCTTATATTAAAAAAGTGAAGAAACAGTCAAATTACCCATCAGAAAAAATTGGATTAAAAATTCGGCGTATTTTAAAAATAGAAAAAAAAAAAATTAAATGAAAAGAATGAGGAAGGAAAAAAAATGGTTCATGATTTAATTGTAGACGGTGCAACGAAAGACATTGGGAGGTAAATTGCCCATATAGAAATAAAAATGTTTCGTGTGCCACAAGAATGGTCACAAAGGGTCGTGTTGTAAAACGAAAAAAAGTCAATAGCCGAATTAGTCAAACAAATTCAAATATCAAATCAGATAGAGATTTGAGGAAATATGTGACGACTGAAATATTTAAAAAGAATATCAAATTTCAACTCGATTCGGGTTCAGATTTAACAATAATGAACTATAAAACATGGAAAATTTTAAAAAAGGCCTACAATAATGAAGTCAACGAAGCGGCGTCGAACAGTGACTGGAAAGGAAATTAAATTGAAGGCGAGGTTGTACTTCCCATGAAATTGAGCGGGATAGTTAAAAAAATAAAAGTTTTCATTCTGAAAATGGGAAAACTTGATGGGTACAGATTTTATTGAAACATTCGAATTGTGGGATAAACCGTTAAACTCTTTCTGCAGAAAAGTAGAAAGTAATCGCAAACAAGACAGGACATTATTGAGGAATTAAAAAAAGTTTCGGAAACTTTCACACCTGGTCTTGGAAGATGTAACAAGTTTGAAGCCAAATTCGAATTAAAGGAAAATACTATGCCAATTTTTAAAAAGAAGCGTAATGTGCCTTTCGCAAGTGTAGAGAAAATTAACGAAGAACTTGATAGGTTGGAAAAAATGGAATTATTTCGAAAGTAGAATCTAATTCATGGGCTGCGCCGATTGTGTGCATAACGCAAAAATCAAACCAAGTCAGAGTCTGCGTTGATTTTTTCGACAGGGTTGATCTCATTAATTGGGACTACCATTACACGTTACCGAGTCCGGAGGAATTTTAACAAGCTAAATGGTGGAGTTATATTTTCAAAAAATTGACTTAGCAGATGCCTATCTCCAAATTCCGTCGAAAGGAATGTTGAAGTTACTAAGGATAAACACGCATAGAGGGTTATTCAAGTACAACAGGCTTCCTTTTTTGGTATTAAAAGTGGCACCTGCCATTTTTCAACAAGCTATGGACGTCATGCTGAATGATTTAGACTTGCGTGCGCTTACTTAGACGACATCATAGTAAGGGCGAATCGATTAAAAAAGCATCTCAATCAAGTATTTAAAAAAATTCAGGACTTTGGATTTAAAGTCAAAAGGGTCAAAGTCGATTTTGGTTTGGAGGAAATTAAGTATTTAGGGCACATAATCAACAAAAATGGCAGATGTCCAGATCTGGAAAGGTCCATTGCGATTAGAGACATGCCGACGCCCACTAATGTGGCGATGCTACAAAGTTTTCTAGGGCTTGCAAATTATTATCAAAGCGTTCATTAAAGGAATGTACAATTTAAGAGCTCCGTTGAATGAACTGCTAAAAAAGACAAGGCATGGGAATGGACGGTAGAATGTCAGAAAGCCTTTGATAAAATAAAGAAAAAGGACCTCTTTTAACCCATTACAATCAAAACTGGATTTGTAGTGGCAAGTGACGCTAGTTCATACGGGATAGGAGCGTGTATTCAACATAATGCCAGATGGTTCTAGAAAACCAATTACTGCGCAGCGAGAACTTTGCTCCCAGGAGAAAAAGTTACTCTCAGATAGAAAAAAGAGGCACTGAGTATCATTTTGCCATACAAAATTTCACAGATACATCCACGGCAGACATTTTATCCTTGAAACGGATCATAAACCACTGATCACCATTTTTGGTTCAAAGAAAGGGTTACCCGTTTATACAGCAAATCGTCTGTTAAGATGGAGAACCATTCTTCTCAATTATGATTTTCACATAAAGCACCTATCATCCAAAAAAAGATAATTCATGCGGATAGTCTATCAAGACTAGTGCGAGGCAAGAAGAAAGATTGAAGAATCAATTATTGCAAATATCAGAGCAGATTTTTGAAAAGCATGGTAAACAAGCTACGGTTACGCTAAATGAAATTAAAAAAAGAAGCTGAAAGCGATGATTTCATTTAGAAATTAAAAGCAAAATGGTAGCGAATGACCAAAAAGTGCAGGAGATTTATTCAATAGGTGTGAGTTTTATTATATGGTGAAGTAGTAATACCAAAAAAGTTGCAGAAAAGAATTCCGGGACTTTCATATGGGTCACCTGGGTATTAATAGAACAAAAAAGCTTAATGCGAAGCTTTATTGTATTGGAAAGGAATGGATGTGGATATCGAAAACATGGATTTATCGATGTAAAAAAGGGGTGTGCGTTCTAAGGCACCACCTATAGTATACAAACCATGGCCCAAGACGGATTGGACAAGAACATTGATTTCGCTGGTCCAGTAGAAGATTTTACTACTTAATAGTGGTAGATAGTTTTACAAAATGGCGGAAGTACTACGCTGTAAAAAGCCTACGTCAATACCACAACAACTTTTTGCATGAACTATTTGCACGGTTGATTGTGCCAGAGTGTAAGTGACAATGGTACACAATTCACTTCTGAAAGGAAAGTTATATCAAATTAACCACATAACGACGCCTCCGTATCATCCGAGGTCTAATGGACTGCAGA